CAAGAAGTTCCTCAGGTACGGTACCAAACCTGCCAAAACCTCACAAAACCTGATGGAGTATGGCAGGTTTTGGGCAGTTAGGATCAAAGCCTACATAGGCTGTAAAGCTCAACCTCTTAATGTAGATCTTGTACACTCATGAAAAGGACAATGACCCTTTAATAAACAGTGATTTAATGGATGGTTTGCATAGAACGCTTGAAAAGTGATGTGTTCTTGGTTTGTTTTTTCCCCAGTGAATCTTGCTCATCAGCGCTTGTCAGTCCCAGTGACCTGTAAGATCCGTGTCTTTGAGGACGTAGAGAAGACGGTGCAGTACGCCAAAATGTTGGAGAGGGCCGGCTGCCAGATGCTGACAGTCCATGGTCGAACCCGGGACATGAAAGGACCTAAGACGGGCTTGGCCAACTGGGACATCATCAAAGCAGTCAAGTGAGTTTGCAGCTCCTTCCATCACTGACCTATACAGAACCTTGAGAGCTATGAGGAATTTAATGAATACCTCAGACAGTTTAACAAATCCTATTGATCTCGTGATCTATCACCTGGGTTCCTTTGAGCAGATAATAAGGATTCAGACCAGTTTTAAACACTTTTCCAGTTTTATATTAAATCTTGGCCCCTATTGTTTGGACCTGATAAGTTTAAGAAGGAGACTTATAAAGAAGAGATTTGGAGAATCCCGATTTCTTGAATTATGGTTTTTTTCCACTCCTTTTGTAACAAAGCCATTGTTATAGTAAAGTAGATTGTCTGGTCCCTGAATCTTTCTTAACAATGAGAGTCGACTGATAACCCTGCATTTTGCTTTTCAGGCAAAACCTGAACATCCCTGTTTTTGCAAATGGTAACATCCAGTACAAGAGTGATGTGGACCGCTGCATGAGAGAAACGGGGGTGGATGGAGTCATGACTGCAGGTATTGTAAAACATTTTAAAGAACCACTGTGTAAACCTGTTTAACGCATAATTTCATGTCAGAAATTTACCAAACTATTTGCTGCATATTTGTAAGGTTTGATACAATCAGTTGAATCAAAGTTCTTCAGATTGATTCATTGACGCGTGTAAACCTTATACAAATTGTAAAAGCATGTAAAGTTTCAAAGTTACCTGGCGGTTGTACTGGGGCTTTGGATGAATCAATTTTTTTCTCTACTGCTCCATCCTTGCATCTATTGCCCTCTCAAGAGCGTAGTGAAAAGACCTTAACACTTGCTGTGTGGTGGAAGCCCTCTGGTCATAAGCACTGTCTGAAAGAGAAGTGAGTAATATTTTTTTCCCCCCTCTTCGATATCCTCTTGCAGAGGGAAACCTTCACAATCCCGCTATTTTTGAAGGGGTGCAACCCCCTGCCTGGGAGATGGCCGAGGAGTATCTTGAGCTGGTCACGCAGTACCCCTGCCCCATGGCATTTGTCAGGGGGCACCTCTTCAAACTCTGGCATCACAGGTAGCGTCGGTCTTGGTGGAGTTTGCATATCGTTGCTTAATGTTGGCACTTAGGTAGAAGAAATTCAGGAGAGTGTTATGCCTGAAGTAGTTTCCACCGGGGATTTTATTGAAAGTGTTGCATCTCACCAGTGAGTCACAGTTGCGTGGCAGACTCCATGACCTCCTTGAGGTTTGAAGGACTTTGGTTAGGTCAAACTGTCGGTGTTATAGCCGAAGCCATGACAAGACCAAGCATAATACAAGTGTGCATATACGGGTACATGTATTTTGGAACCAGCTATGATAATACTAATAATAATATTAATTAGCGCTAATGGGTCATTAGGAAGACATTCCCATAAGAACGTGCACAAAATTTTTCCAACTTTACTGTCCCATAATTCAATATTCCCTAGTCTGATCTGAATGAAACTTTGTATGTTTTCATTTTAGACCCTAATCTATCATCTGTCAAAATTTGGACACAGTNCCAATGTCTCCCTAATGCTGAAAAATGTACCACAAAATGTCTCCCAAATGACCTATTTGTAAATGTAATAGCGATTTCTTATATTGCGCACGTATCCACCCTGCTGGGTGCTCAAGGCACATTATTATCCCTGCACATTAGGCTCACAACAACTGAACATTCCTGAAACCATCTCAGCTCCGTGGGAGCATACTAGCTGATGCAGCCCTATCAGGCGCACACGGCTAACATAACCAAATCTGCCCTCACAGGTACCCATTTACTCTTAGGTGGAGAGAGGCACACAGGGGTAAAGTGACTTGCCCAAGGTTGCAACATGCTGCCACCAGCTGGATTCGAACCTCCAACCCTATAATCCGAAGCTACAAACCCTAACCACTAGGCCACATGCCAATACCGGGTACCCGGGTACCCTTAAAATACAAAGAATACATATAAATGGCATTGCACGTAATCTGAGCAGACCGTGTGCCCAAAACAAGGCTCTGTTTTCATACATAGGAAGCGGCACATTGTTCTGAACTTTGGAGAGGAATCACCCCCACCGTTTAAACAAAATTTTTACCTTCAGTTTGTAACAAAAGTAGCTTGTTCGATCTCCGAACCAAGGTTATAACCACGGGATCAGGTTTTTCAGCGGCACAATGAGTTTTCAGCATTTCTTTCCTCCGCTGTTAAAGTTCATGTACATATATGTGTACGTGGACTTTTTTATGGGTAGCCGGCCCCCAAAATAGGGAACCTGGTTTTGATATCGACGGACGGATACCCGGCACAGGCCTAGGACATAAGACCAGTTACAAGTAACAGGGTGAACAAGGACAAAGGAATGCTTCCATTACAGTTCATTTGAATAGCTTGTGACTTGAATTCAGACCGGAGGTCTTGTGTTGGCCTTAGAGGTTCTTGTGGGGTCTTCTGCTGGTTACAACCACGCTGCACATTGTCCTGATATATTATGACAATGACAGGACACGTCCTGATCATTGTGTCAGTCCAGAGATTCACAAAACACAAAATTGACCCAACCTCACAAAATGAGTCGCAAATTACCATTCATTCATTTATTAGTTTATGTCTTTCTTATTGTGGCCTAGCAAGCCAAATTACAAGGATGTTACATATTCTAATAAAAATACATGTAAAATACATTAAAAGTACATCAAAAAGATTAACAAGCACAAAACAATCACTAAATTTTAAATATTAAAACTAGTTAACAAACGAATAAAATAGATCTAACCTACTTCAGCAGGTTGAACAGTGTTTGGTTTCTGAGACACTTTTGAATTAAAGACCTTTCAGTTTCAAATAGTTTTGCAAAGTGAAAATTGATAGGAACCAGCAACATTTTCAGCCCAGTAGTATCCATTTTATTAGGATGCCAAACCGAGTGATACATCAAAACAGTTCTCATCTTGCTCTTTCTAATCCAACCAAACCAAAACAACTGTTGAAATAGCCTAATGATTCATATTGTGGGACCTCTCATGTGGCATTATTTCACTGGTTGCTATGGAGTTCTGAAGTAGTGTCACGTCATTTGGAACCAGGAAGTGTAGTGCAAACAAATGGAGTATTCGCGCGTGTTGGTTCGCACGTTGGTTCTCGCGCTAATGCCTTTTCCACACAGGATTGTGCGCATGACAAATCGGTTCTCTGTATCTCCTGTGATTGGTTGGATGACTTTCCAGGGGTAATGTGTGCTTGACCTTTTTGCCGTTTTCACTCCAGCCTGACCATCCACCAGGACCTGCGCACACGACTGGCTGGCGCCAAGACCCTGGAGGAATTTATCTCCATCAATCAAGCTCTGAGAGACGTGTGCGAGGAGGAGATAAAGCAGGCAGCAGGCCAGGATTCAAATGGGAAGATGCCCCATTGGTTGTGCCAGCCATATGTTAGGCCAACGTGAGCACTTTATTTAAAATAGTACACAGATAGGAATTTTATCACGAAGAAAAAAACAAACCCAGAAAATTACAGCTTAGATCCTGATGGGATGCTTTTCATTTGAATCATCAGCAAATAAATGCAAGGGAAATTGATTTTTTTTCAGAACCTTTCGTGAAAACACAAATTCTGAGCCACATTGAAAAGTACCAATCCGCTACCAAATTCATTCTTTATAACTCACAAATGAAAAAAAAAGATTTTCTTCTATGGAAATAATGGGTTGTAGCATTACTTTATTTCATTTCATGACAAACTGATCAAATAGAAAACACTGATTTAGGGGACAATGCAAATGAAGTAGGCAGTAACTCAGCATATTACCCTGAGAGGTCCTCAAAATGCTGTTAAACCTCATGAAGTTTTCAAGTGAGACTTGAAGTACCGCATGCTTAATTCCACTTTGTCCCCTCTCCCACAGGCAATTCATTAACAGCAGTGGTCCTTGTCTTTCCTAACAGGCCCGAAGAGACACAGCAACGGATCCTGGAGAAGAGCCTGAAGCGACCACTGAGTGAGGAGAACGAGCAGGAGAACCGAGAGCCTTTCCTGTCAAAGAAAGCCCTCAAGAGACACCAGCAGGGGAAGCCACCTGTCAAGAATGGTACCCTCTCAGAAACTTGGCTAAGACAGTCTAAGTAGACCTCGGGGAAAACAAAAGTCAGGTCGACAGCATTTTGTGCACGGAGCAGGATTGGATGCGGTAGATCTTGGACCCATGTGGCAGTGTTATCACACTTGTATCCTGAGATGTGAAAATTTAATTGCATCTAGTCTTGTAAGAGAAGACTTGCTGTACTGGCATTTATAGCTACACATAAGAATTGATCATTTTCTTTTTAATGTGAGAATAATTGGACCAGTAACATTTGAAACCCCCCCCAAAATTAATATTTTTCCTTTAAGATACAATATGTGCTGCTGTAAACATTCAAGAGGATAAGATTTGATTGATTCCACCTTTTTGCATCTTTGCGTCAGTGAGGAAGTTCGATCCCTGCTCAACGTGCAACAATCCCCGCGGTCTCAGCTGTGTCTTCAAGCTCTGTCGAGCCTGCTGCAAAGAGAAAACGCGCCGTGCAGTGGAAGATTGCCCGAGTAAGTACCGTGATCTTGAAACAGTTGAAATCTCAGTGCAAAGTTGACCCCGGCTTGAAAAAGTGCCGTCGGTGTGTCAAGTAGTGCAGTAGTTTGAAATGTACAGAAAGCAACCACTGGCAACCTGTGTAGTCCATCACAAGTTTATTAGACTAGTTATCTAGTCTTAACCACTTCGTGCTGGGGTTCTCGGTACCGGAGACCTTAGGTACTCAGGTGATTAACTGCTGAAATGACTTGAGATGGCTTTGACTCCCTCACTAACTGCTGTGGTGTGAGATCATTCTTGCCTCTTTTGACTAAACTAGTGACAGGTGTGTTGAGTCCATGCAGATCTGAATCACTCAGCAAGTAGGGGACTGAAACGATCCATGGGAATTGAATTTTATGGCGACTCACAGAATGTACTGTAGAGCCAAAATGCATTTTCTGAAGGGATTTTTAAAAAGGTGTCTTTTTTGGGGGGTCGATTTTTCCCAGGTCATCGATTCTATTTTAAGACCAAGATAGAGCGCAGGAAATATTGGGAAGCTAAACAAGCTGCCAAAGCGTTACAAACGATGGACACACCTTTGGACACACCCAAAGACACGCCGACGGACACACCCGTGAATGCTCCTACAGATGCACAATTAGCTGTTCCTGGGGGAAGGATAATGGAAGCTGATCCATTCAACATACCTGGCAGCACCACAGCAGAGGGCTCGCTGAGAGACAAAGTCTCAGGTGACTTCCAGCAAGACACATCTGGAACCACGAGCGCTGGCAATGATGACAGAGTAGACGCCAACATGCTTACAGCCGAGACACCCTCAGACCTACCCACAACCATTCCGTCAGAGATATCCTGACAAATGCCCTCAAAAACAATGTTTATGGCAATTTGACATTCAGATTTACCAAATGGATGAATGGTTTTAGTTTTTCAGGAGTAAATACTGCTCTATCACATGGCGAATATTATTTCAAGAGTTATTGACTTCTTCAAAGTAGTCTCAGCCACTAAAGGTGTGTTCAAATCAACTAACTATGGCTCAAAATAGCACACATATCTGTGGCATTTTAAAGAAGCCGCTCCCAGTGGCTTTGTAGGTAGACATGTTTAATTTTTTGAAGCTGCAGTTAACCACAACCTCATAGACAAGGCTGAATACATGTACTACCATTGAAGTGTACAAATGAACTCAGAAGAGCATTTCATTTCATCACATGGTTGAGAAAATATTGTTTTGCAGATCTATATTCTAAGCAACCGGAGATCTTCTCTAAGATGTGTACATTATGTGGCACTTTCTTGGTAACGTGGCCCTGCTAAGTCAAGAGTTTCTCTGCTTAAGAGCATGGCGGTGTGCTAATTAAATAGGCTTGGACAACTTGTTACCGTGGGTATTGGCAAATGTGATACCAAAGGCAGCGTGGAGATTTAACTAGAAAAATCAATATGAAGATTTTCTGTGAGACATTTCTCCTGAGAATGTCAGTACATGTGTGTTTGGCTTAAAGTAAATCAGGTTGCTTTTTAAATTATGTGGAGGACCTTATTATTGTATTTTTAAAATTTGAGGTACATGTTTATCTTGATGACTGGCAAACATTATTATTAGTGGGCAGGACACAGGGAGCCGGCGTATTGCCTCTTTCATTACTTGATGCCATTGGAGCAAGGTCTCGTGGATTATTCATCTGAATTTTTTCTGTCAGTCAGTTGGTTGCTTGGTTTTCTACTCTGAAGATATCTGAGACCGAAAAACTTCTCAGCTTGTCCAAAGCTTAGAGAAAGGAGGAAAACACCACAAATAAATTATCTTACCAGATTCCCCCTCACTCTCCTCCCCCCCGGGAGGGAATCAATTGTGGTGGTTGTGATAGAATAATAACGTGAATATATTCGCGACCAAAGAGCGGGTCATGGAGTTTGGTCCTGGATATTGGCGTCAATATTGACGATTGGCGATGTTCCTCCAGGACCACCATGGTCCCTATATAGTCATTGGTTAATTTCTGCTGCAATCTTGGGCAGACCGCCATATGCTACTGTGTCGTGCAACCAACCTGAGCGCAGACAGGTTCTGAAAGGGAACGTTCATGTGTTTGATGCGCATGAGCTGTCCTAAAATACGGCTGACGTAGACCAGAGCACCGCTCAGTAATAAAAACGAGTTCCTACGCATGACTGCCCTATTTCCGTCCAAAAGAGACTTTGTTCACAAGAGAAAATCTGAAGAACGCATTTATTTGGTATTATGACATATTGTAAAGTTGACATCCCTGGGCTGTACTGTGGTACCGCTACGGTTCAGAGGATCCATTCTCGTTGACAATTGGGTGTACAGGTACAGTGGATTACTGGTGGAGCCGAAGTGTATGCTGGACGAAAGGACAGACATATATTTGCAGTGGTCGTTCCTATATTTGGAGGAAACTGTCCCTTGAATCCGCTCAATCACAACTGAGATGGCTAGTGCTCTGTTTGCGATCTTTAGCCTTATCTTGCTGTCTGGTGTGTCAGCAAAGGAACCTCGGCCGTGTTGTTGGATCAGTCAAATGACAGGGCAGGCTGGTAAGTCGTTGGATTGAAAGAACATGTACAGCGTAATAAAGCTGAACCCAGACGCCATTGTTTTTTTCTGTAAACGTACTATAATTCAAAAACTATTTTTCTCTTTTCTTGAAATTCGTGTGCCATGTAGAAATATGCAAATGAAAATGATGCCAACTTTTTCACCCTCAACTCCAGAAAAAAAAATTGAAGACAAAAAAAGGCTGGCAGCATTTCACCTCCCAAATTTGAGGTCTCAATTCAATGTCACTGGCAATATTGCTTTGAAATTTCACAAGTGAGAGTGGAGCCAAGTAATTTCAGTTTGAAGCCTAGACGACTCACTACTGAAATTTGTCTCAATTTCGACAAAGAGCTAGCATTTGTTAATCTGTTGACAGTGACTTTTAGACAGAAAGTGCAGAGACAACAACGGCAATGCGAGTGTTTAACTTTTTGGTTTCCTTTGCCTCAAATGGTGGCGTACTCAGTAGCATTAGACAGGCTGTTTCATGCACTTCCTTCAGACACCTGATTTCATTCCTCAAACTTTGCGGCCTCCACAATGCAGTATGAGGACCTCAAACAGTTGGAACGTGTTGCCAGGAAGAGCGCTGTGAATTTCTAGTTTCTTCTTTAGATTACCATAGTAACTCACATCCATTTGGAAAGTAGCTAAGTATATTTTAATTCTTTGCACCAATATAAAGTGTTCGCTGATTTTTACCTGTGTCACTGGGAATGTTATGTGGAAAAAACATTAAGACAACCTTCACCTTGTTTCTTTTTCAAGAGGAATTTGAGTACAGTTGTGCAATCCGATTTTAACAGAGCAGGGTGTTAATATCGAAAAAAAGGAAGAAAATATGACCAACGTTAATAAGTGTTTGTTTAAAAAAATCTCCCACTCTTTTCAGAATTGCAAGGCACCAAAAAGCTTGAGGATGGCTCGGTGATTTTGGAAGAGTCCGAGCTTCAGTGGGCCTATGATGCCACTTTCCAGGCAGAAGCTTTCATCTTTGACGAAATACTCGAGAATTCAACGGTCATTAAGGGACGGATTGTAAACTTCTATGATCAGGTATACTGATATCCATCAAAATGGGTGCCTGTGCATGTTATTGACGATACGTGGGTAGTGTAAAATGTGTTTGCCAATTTGCAGTCTTTGTTCATTGTGAAATGTCAAGTGCAATATGTGTATTGGCTCGGTGAAGTAGAAGCTGGAGTTAATTAATTGGATTTTGCTGAATCAATATGTTAAAAGGGAAGCATTTCTTTACCCGATTCTTCTTGTAGGGTTTATCCTTCTACATCATTGACAATCAGGGCGTTGAGAGGTGTGCCAAGATCCGTATACCAGCCAGGTTTCCCAAAAAATGTATTCCGGGTAAGTGTGCAGCAACAATTTCGAAGGCTTTTGAGTGCGGAGTTATACGGGATGCTCATATACGTTTAAGTAATTTAAGTTCAGAAAACATTCAGAAAAAGGTAGACGAAGATACGCTGCACTGAAAGGTTGTTTTAAACATGTTTCACGAGGTATATGGGTGTCACGAATCGCAATCGGTATAATTATGCAGTTTTTGATTCAGTATCTAAATTTTTTGCATGGTTAAGATCAGTGAGTGTTGTATGAGACTTTTGGTTAACGTCAACGTTGTGCAGATCCTAAATGCTGACATCCTTTTCAATGCTTATATTCTTCAAACAGAGCATGCTGAGTACTATGGCAACCGCACCCTTGGCAACGATTCCCTAGTTGCTCACGAGTGGAAGCTTAATACAGTGGCCGGTGGGGATGTAGTGAACGTTTCCTTCTTGATCCAGGACGAGTACTGCGTGCCCATCAGCTTTGGTGTGGTCTCTCAAGGTGAGAGGCGGGCCGTATCCGAATTACCCGGCTGCGGCTGGCGATTACGCACAAGGCTATGGGTAAAGTGTGCAGCCACAAATGGTTTGCAACTTCCATAGTTTCTGGTGTGGCCAATTGCATGTACATGTAACTTGGACACAGCTTCACAGTCGGTCATAACACAACTATTGTAATACGTGCATCCTTATAGTCCGAGGCTGTACATATCTGCGAATTCTAGGGAACTTAAATCAAATCATTGTAGGCCTATACAACGAAACATTAACCATGAGGGGGGAAATTGTTCACACTAGTTCGAACTATCCTGTCCTTGTCACTGTTCTTTATTCGGTTCTGTCCTCTTTAAGTTCCTAGGTTTAATCTTTTCGAAAGTGCTACGCCCTCTTTGATAAAGCGATGCCAACATTTTTTCTACCATGAAAAAAACATTCTGTTCAGTATTTCAGTAGTTTAAAATCGGATATTCTGATGAGATTACTGTGTGTAAGCAAGAGACCGGTTCTCAAGTCACTCATTATTATATGGCCCATCACTAGACGGATGTTGGTTCGGTTCCAACGTACATGTATGACTTAACTATAGAATGATGATGTAGCCGAACTCTGCTGTATAACAAATAAATATTATGACTTCCCAGAGCCGAGGGTCCGGACCATCGCTTACGGTGACATTGAACTGGGTATTTGCGACCGCGAGAAGTTTTTCCGTATTCCTGATGAGTGTCGTCAAGTGGTAAGCATATTTTTTACACTGGATCTGCGTCCATACAGTGCTCCTAAAAGGGGGCCAATATCAAGTGCAGGTCGATTGTGCCGAGAGTCTTATATGTGCTTCATGCATACCGGCAAAACTTGGCCAGTGATTAACAAAATGGTCGCTGATGTAATGTCGGGTAAAATGGCACAACTGACGAGGAACCGTCTGGCCGGTCAAGACACTCTGCATGCCCGTCCCATCGCACCCGGACCAGCATTTCACTGCAACACCGAACTCATTAAATCGATGAAAATGCAACGCATGTGCATTCAGTTCTAATATTAGTCACGTTCTCCCGGTATAAACACAGCACGACAGAACCTTATGGATACGACATCATCTATCTTTTTTTGGGGGGGGGGGTTGCTTTATATTTGAGTTCTTTGGTGACATGCATTGTGTTCACTCTCTAAATTGGAAAGAGTGAAATTAGGGACAAGGCGTTTTGGAGTGAAAATCATTCTGAATTTAGACTGAAAAGGCTGAAAATAGCCCCTTCCAGTGGAAGCTCGAGTGAAATTTTAGTCTTTTAGAGCGAATAAATTTCACTCCAATTTGTCTGGTACTTAATTTCAATCGGAGGGAGTGAACTTTCACTCTTTGGAATTTAGAGAGTGCACCTTTTTAAATGATTTCCTCTTACTATATTCTTCCACAGAATGATGGTACTCCCAAGGGACATATGTATCAGCAGATAATGCAAACAGCCTTCAACATGTAGAAACCGGTGGATGGAAAGGGATAACGCAAACTCGATCTTTAAAGAAGACATGAATAGGATTTTTATGAATATGTGTATAGGCAAGCTTCTCGCAAAGTTTTAGTATGATTTTCCATGTCCTTTTGAAGAATAAAAGGGAGAACTTTAACATTTTGGTTTGTTATGCTGATCAAAATTTCCATTTTTGTGAGCTACTAGCAGCTAGTGGCTTCATAGCCACACGGTATTCCTTGTGTAGGCCTACATTTCTCAGAGTGCGTTCCACTTTTTACTGCTTAACGTGCTAAGTAGCTTGCTCATACAATAGTAATGGCCAATTATTTCTTGAAAACTTTGTTAGGGCGTAATTGTGAAGGACGATTTTCCTTGTACTTTTTCTTATGTGCCTTTGATGAGTAGTGCCTAAAACGAGACAGGCAAGTCGATCTAGATTATACCATTATGAGTTTACCGTAGACACTTTCACTCATGAAATTCTCAAAACTCGTGAAAATTCTCTGTATTCGAGTGAAAATTTGTTCCCTCCGAAAAGCTCTGACTGACATTAGGGACTAGACGAATTCGAGATTTGACTCGAGATTTCACTGAAGTTTTTCGCAAGCTATTTCGATCTGAATTCAGAGTGACTTTAATTCACTCTGCAACAGTTCCACTCGTACTCTCTCGATCACCGTTTGGTTCAAGGAAATATCTTTGCGACTGATCATCTTTTTTGTGATTTAGGAAATAACACTGTGGAAAATAAAATGGGAAATAAAGAGGCTGATCGAGTCTGTCATTTTACTTATTTGACCCGTTGGTATATATCATGGATAACAATTTTGATTATGTTAATATGTAGACTGCTATCAACGTGCGGTATAACTGACCAGTAACTTTCCTAGATCCCAAGTTAATGATTAATGTTCCAATCACTTAATAATTCTCTATTTGTTCAAGGTTTGGTTAATCAATGCTGCTTAAGCTCCGCGCAAGATTTAACCGACAATATGCAAACCAAATAGTCGACCATCAACATTGTCAATCAATACTTGAGGGCAAGGGATAATTCATGCCGGATACACGAATTATTTCCTGTCTCTTTCATTGATCAAACTATGCCTTGATGTTCAGTTTTGGCTTCATTTTGAAGCCGCTGCCCTGACCTTTAGGCTTGTGGGCAAAACCTAAGCCCCAGCCCTGGCTTTTTGAGGATTATTTAGGAGCTGGGATTTTTTAATCAAGGCACTCCAAGGCTTACACATTTCTACAATAGGCCTATTTAGACATAAAATAACTTACGTCAAACTTGGTCGATTTTTTTTCATTTCATTTTCCATGGCCAACCCGATATCTTATACAATATCTCACTTCTATATACAGAGTGCATTAGATTCTGTATAATTGCACTTATTCATTGATTTTGTGTCAGCGGTATGGGAGAACTTGTGACATACGACAACAATTACACACTTCAGTTGGAGAAACATCGGTTAGTATACGAAAACTAAATGAACTGGTTTACGCAGCTGTGGACAACTTGCATGCAAGCGACCCGCCCCTTCCACTCCACTCTCTCTGCCCGACTTCAGCCGTCCCGTTACCCCGGTTTTGCTGAGATAGTTTACAGTGGAGGGACTGGTATCTAGTCTCTTAGGGAATGTACAGGTAATTTGGCACTGGCTCCGTGTGCGCACGTACATGTACATGTAAAGTACATGTACAATGCAAAAGCATAACCTGCACTGCATGTGTCAATGTCCACCGTCAGAAGACTGCAGTTCTTCGTCAATCTGTCAACGAAATGGACGCTTGGTAACCGAATTCCACCGACAGGACCAGGCACACGACAGTTAAGAATGGCGGGAAATAGCAGCACTGATCAACTGAGAATTCACGCTAGAAATCGTCAATATGAAGGCTTTGATAGAGGTATGGATGGTTGCTAGTGAGCAGTGGCCTTGTAATAATGTGGAGTGTACATGTACATGTACATGTACTCGTACAGTGCACTGCAATGCACATACGCACCTCTGTACAGCTTGTACGGTGAGTGTGTCATTAGTCAACACGATACCCTAATTCGAATATCGATGGAATGAGAATTGTTTACTTGTTTTCATATACAGAATTGCATCAGTCTGGGTCTCCACGTTTGATTCAATGGTTCATAGTCGTCTGTCTATAATGAGAAGTCAAGGAAATTGGTCTGTTTTCTTGCTATGTCCATGTCAAACCATGCCGTAGTCAAACTCTTCCGCGTTCCGACCTTTATCTTTCTTTACAAGTGTGGGTAGACTTGTTTTAAGTCGATTTTGGATTTACTTTCCCCGGCTGTCAGGTTTACATCTTAATCGTACATAATGCCGCTTTCTTTTGTGATTTTTTTCCTCATCAGAACATTTCCTAGGCTATTGCCTATGCGTCACCCTGACCAATAGGCCCCTAGTGATTTTTATAAATTTAAGCTGATTAATTAAAACATAGGCAAAAGACTTTCGAATGTAACAGCCAGTCTGTTATTACGTCAGTTTTCAGTGCAGTGCAAAATTTCGTATATGAACGTAAACGTTTGAAATGTACATGTACTATGTGTACAGTCTTGGACTGAAGATTATAATGTACTTCAACTATCATCGCTTGGCTTTACTCGCTGGTCCTGTATTTTGAATGAAGCTCAGTTGGAGCATGGACCGACTCCTCAAAATGTGGCTGTCTAGTGAAATACTTATAATGACCTCGCTTTTTTCACATCTTCACATCTCTCCGCTGTACTGTTCAAAAACTCTCTGTATTTTACAGGTTTTGCTTGTGACGTATATTTATTTATTGAGAAATATAACTGGAAAATTCATCACTATAAAGAAACATATTTTGACGGATGTAGGAATAAATCACTATGAACACTTGTGAACTGTGTTTCAGACATTGTCGTCTGCATAATGCATATTATAATAATGAAAACAAAAGCCGAAAAGCGTAATATTTTCTGGGCATTATTTTGTGAATTCACAAGAAACTAGAAATTTGTCTCCAAGAAAGTTGACCCACCAGTAGAAATCATGAAGTGCAAGTGGCATCTCTACAATCAGTTGACAGCATACTACCGTTATGTTATACCGTTTGCGCGCGAGCGCATTGTGAGAGCTGTTCTTCACATGTGAAGATCAGTGCGCGTGTAAAGAGGGGCTTGTGGGGTACCGGAATAATGGGAAGTACCCCATAGGGTACAAGTGGGGGACTGAGACGGTACCCCACAAGGATTTCAGGAAATAGATATTTCAAATTTATTCAAAAAGGAGGAATTTCCAAGTGCCATTCATTTATCGCAAAATGAAGTATTTTAAATAAGGGACTTTCAGTCGAATTTCCAAAGTAGGAAAGTGAATCTGGTCCAAATGGGAGTGATTTGAACATTTTTGCGTGTTGTGTGGGAGTTTTTACACGAGAACAAAGAGATTACCCCACAAGTATAGCTGTGTAAGGCTGTGTGTTTGAACTTGGGTTAATAGCATAGTCACTGATAGTTGTAATCTTGTAATTAAAAAGGGCACATTGTTCTCGAAGCATGACTATTTCCCGCTGATACAGTCGTCCCATTTCGCACTGTGTGAAACGAGCCTTTGAATTTGCCTTTCACGACCTCAATGCTTATAACAGGAAATGATACAATTTGATAAAGGCTCCGCTTGTATTGCGCAAGTATTTGTAAATTTGTGGCTCATGGTATGCCGAGAGACAAAATATAATGTTGATAGCGCTAGACACCTTGACATTCCGCCGTGGGAACAAGGTGCTTCTGTACCCGGCTTATGCCGTTCATTTCAATATTATTGTGGGTTTTGGCTGTTTGACACTGAGGGAGTTCATGAAAAGAAAAGAAAAACGATAAAAGCAGTCTGTACTGTATGTGTCATGTATCAATGGCTGAATTTGTACTCGTTTTGAGAGCATATTTTGAGGCAGAAAATCTTTGTTTTGGTGGCTATTAAAATGTTTTGTATGATACATTGCCCCGAATGCTTTTTTTCAAAATCCGCCCAGTCGTTGCAGCCTCAAAGATTCGAACTTTACCTCAACGGTCAGAGCTAGTGTAGACTTCTCCACGTAATAGCCATGTACCCCTGTTTGAATCCCGCCAGAGCACGAGGGTACGTGGCGTGGACCGTTCACGTTTATCGCCTCGGCTGACCCCCAGTATGGCCTGACAGCCGGCTGGAATAACCCGGGTTTGCTCGACTGGACACAGGAGGTGGAGCTGACGCAGAGGGGAATCGAGAGGATTAATAAGATGAAGCCACGCCCACGATTCCTTGTCGTTCTGGGAGATATGCTCGATGCAATGCCAGGTACCTTATAGGTTGTATTGGATGAGAATCAGGCACAATAAGCCCATTGATTCAAGAGTTGTAATGACTCGAGTCAATGACTCGACTCGAGTACAACTTGAGTTACAATTTTTGGCTACTCGACTCGACTTGAGTCCCAATGGGTAAATGACTCAACTTGAATCTCTGCGACCAAATGAGTCGACTCGAGTACAAGCTTATAAGACTCGAGTCTCAAAAAAATTAAAACCAAAATTTTAGTTGGCTAGATACCTGTCACCCTAATTCATCTTCAGTTTGTCTAAATGAAAATGAAAAATACCAAAAATAACTAACATGTAGTTGTGTTTCATCGTATTTTATTCAAAAATTTGTGACTCAAATTGACTCGAGGTCGGTATTTGACTCGACTCAACTACACAAAGTGACTCGGCTCGACTTCTTGACCTAATGACTCGACTCGAGTCACATTCACAATGTTAAAATGACTCGACTCGAGTCACCAAATTTAATGACTCGTAACAACACTGGTTGATGCTGTGCGAAGATTCGAAGAATATTACCCGTGTTCAGATCTATGAATTTTTAGATCCTGTATCTTAGAAAAAGTTCAAGGCACTGCAGTTTGTTTCTCTGAAAGCACAGTCATCCATTCCTAACTGAGACTCTCAAGAATTTTCATGAACTGTCTGATAGAATAGATTCATAAGGCCAGTTCAAATTTGGCGCCAAAGCGAACAGAAATAGGGATTTGTGACGTCAGATCAAATATTCGCGCTGTAAATTAGCAATAGCTGAGTACATTTCAACTCCGAAGCGAAATTTTCCTGCAAATCTTTCTGACGTGATATTCGCTTCTCTTTCTCATTCGCCTCATTAGTATGAACCAGCATTTAGTGTGTTTTAACGGGCCTGTTTAACAGATCGGTTTGAAATACACCTTAACTTACATTTTTAGTCATTAAATCTATTAACTTAGAATACACTCTCTGTGAAACTCGACGTCCACACAAAGAGCGGTATTCCGTTGCACCAGAAATAAACTGTTTATCAAATCATTGTAGACAGCCATGCATGACATAATATGATGGACTACTTGCGTATGAGTAACAATGAGTTTATTTGACGAAGCTCCAGACACGGTTGGATATGTGTGACTGATAAACACTCAACAACTGTGATGAACCATGGGTATCACGTAAAGGATAAATTACACATGATTTTGTTATACACCAGATCTCTAAATTCTAATTTATGTGCGCATGCGCATAATGACAAGTGGAGGCAAGAGGCTTGAGCGGCCCATGAAAAAGTTCGCTGGCACAAATTTCAACGTCATTTTCTCTCAGGTTCTACATTTTTCTTCACTTTTGTCTTCGGAAACTCACTAAAATCAGTATAGCTCGTATTAGTGAACTGGTCTATTGAAGTCGGGGAAGACGCCTTTGTGCATTGTAGGCCTATTATTTGTGTAGGAACACAACTTGCAATAATTCACGAGAGCTTCTTTCTCCTTTCTGTTCGTCCTGCTAGGTCGCCCGGGCCGTGATGACCAAAAGGTTTCCTTTACGGAAGTCTTTAGCAAAGTGGATCCTGAAATACCTCTCGTGTTTTTACCGGGAAACCACGACCTCAGTGACAGTCCAAGCATGGAAGACATCAAGTTGTACCGGGACACGTTCGGCGATGACTTTTACTCGTTCTGGGTGGGAGGGGTACGGTTTATTGTTCTCAACAGCCAGTTCTATGCTGACTCGAGTAAATGCCAAGAAGCGAGGGACGAACAAGATACATGGCTGAATGAGCAATTAGAAGGTATACATGTACATGGATGGTCCTGAAATATATCTGCTGTCACTCCAGCCAGTCATGACCTGCACACCTGGCACACGAGCCATTTTGATTGGTTCATTGTTGTAAACGAGGTCCATTTGACGCAAGATATGTGACGGAGAGAACCCACCCGCCTTTGTGTTGGTCATTATTTGATCGG